ATTCTAAATGCATTTTTGGTTTACAATTTGGGTGAAAGTCATACTAAACAAAATACAACATGAATAAAACATCTTAAAATTCTGTGGCGACAACGGAGGGGGTCAAAAATAAGTAGAAACTACCAGTGGCGTCGACGGAGGGGGTCAAAAATAAGTAGAAACTACCAGTGGCGTCGAAATTCGATAAGAGTAGGCTTCGGCCTCCACAAGGGCAAAATTAAAAATTTCCTACCGACTGAAAATGTGCCGCGCTCATATGACCTGATGCAGTTGTGAGCGCCGTAAAACACTTACCAAAAAAAACATTAAAAAATTATTGCACACATTTCTGAGTTCTATGTTCATGCACATTGTTTTTACCCTTGGAAGGGCGGTACCTCCAGCTGTGGCTCAGACTGCCGTAGACAACAGGAAACCGTCAAAACAGGTCGGAGTTGAGTTTGAGCAAAGAGAATCGGGTCAACACAGTAACAGACATTTAAGTAACACTAACGGAAAAACAGACAGATGTAAACACCAGACAGAAAGATAAGAAGTAGGACCTACCGGCGACAACCAATAACATTCTACATTTTTTTTAAAAAGGAACAAATAAAAGATATTAAGTAAATATGACCACTTTAAACCTTAGACAAAGCTGTAGTATTTCCACAATCAGACACAGTCATGATGAGGTCAGCACAAAAGTAAATACAACGGTCACTTTTGGTCTCTTCGTTTTGGCTGGTCAGTGACATGAAAATCTCAATAAAAATTACAATCTTCAACAAAAACTGAAAAACAGTCAACTTCAAAACAGCTTGTGACTCATAAACATACGATTTGTTAGCAAACAGTTAAAATGTATAAGGCAACAGTGACATATTTCAGGACAGAAAAAAAAAAGATGAAAGGCAGACTACTCCCATGGCCCCCAAACTCCGCCGCGCAGGGCTGGGTTACTTCTTGGGTCATAAGGTGGGTACCGTACAGGCACGGCTGTCTCGTTAAACCGCTGTAGATATCCCAGGAGGGTCCGAACCATGTCCGGCATCTGGTCAGACAAGTCGTGGTGCTCGGTCGGGTCAGCTGTGATGTTGAACAACCACACGTTCTTGCCAGGGGATGTACGCCGGTCTGCAGGAAACAACACAAGTGAGATATTTAGAAGGCGTGGCAATCAGAGGGCTCAAAGTTGCAAACAAACTCGTTGACCCAACATTTGCAGTGAAAGTAACAAATTACAGATTTATAGAAGCAATAGATCGAAAATTAGGTGTTTTTACGTACCCATCAAAACAATTTGTGAGGCGTGCTGACAAAATGAGTTACTTCTCACAATCCACATATGGAGATATTGGCCAAAAATCGACTTTAAGGTCAGATTTGTAGATTTTCTATTGATGCCATTTTCTTTAACTATAACCTGTCTTTTATTACTTCATACTTATAAATTGAAAAAACTTCAGCTATAAGCGTGATTGGTCTATTTCCTGAATGTTTCAATCCGAGAAGTAACTCATTTTGCCAGTATGCTTCACATTTAGATCATGAGGCGGGCTTCTGATCCTGCCTGTATTATCCCACCCAGGCTGAGAAGGATACATGCCAGTAGAAAGACAAAGATACTCTGTAAAAATTTTCCCCCCACTCAGGAACTGAACTCAGGTCTCTTGTGTGTGATAGCAAAGCACCTAACCGCTACACCACAGACGCCGGTGTAATAGATCCAAGTGTATTTGCAGCTAAAAAAAAAACAACATAACTTTACTGAAATATTTTTTTTGGGAAAAAGTAACAAAAACATAATTTACTGAAATGACATTTACAAGGATATAATAGAACATAAATTTACAGAAGCAACATTACAACATTAGAAGGGAGAGTAAGAAAATATAAATTTTTATGGACAAATTTTGTAAATGATCAAAATTATGTAGCTGGGGCATAAAAACACTTAGATTTAAAAATAAACAGTCGGCAAAGAGGGGG